GCAGCTACAGACAATAGTATTGTGCACTCACTTGATTATACGGTACAGATGTGCAGCCTGCTGCTAATCAGCTTGCCATGTGGAGGTCCTAGCAGATTCTTAGTTGGTGCTGGATCCTGAGGTAAGAGCAGTAACCCAGAGAGAGGGCTGTGTAGCTAAATGACATGTTGAATAGTTTCACTATTTTGTGCATGGAACTACCTTCAAGGAATCCCTCAACCACCTGCTAACACACCTAGTACTATTTGTGAGCGAATGTAGCTAGTACTGCTTATGGGCCTGGAGAAAGTGTCCTGCCTGATGCACCACTTATTGCTAACGAAATCATGCTGAGTGTGGTTACACAATCACTAAACAGGGAGGTGGGCACTGAGGTAACGTTGTATGTGAAACTATACCTATTACCCCTTTCTGCATCTCAATTTCCCTCTCAGCTGAAGCAGAGCCATGTTTCTGTGAGGATTTTTCTGAAAAATAATAACATGCAGTTAAAGGCATAGCTCATCAAAGTGCTTATGTGTGTGCACTGTATTTATGCCTTAGTGATATACATTTCTAAAAATATTTCCCTTCTGCAGTCTCCTCTACCCTTTAATTGCTCACTTGTCTTTCCTATCATCAAGCTACAGGCTGGCTACCCTCCAGCATCTGCTGCTTTTGCTTTTGCCGTGGGGCCTCTCTGGCATAAGTCCTGTGACTAGACTGAATTCTTCTACCACGACAAGCATCTGTCCTTCTTTAGCTCTATCCCCTGCCTCTGACTTAGCTGAGTCACGCTTTCTCTGTGCATACACCTCCAGTTGTCCCCATGTTCTTGTCTCTTTCCTTTCCAAACTGGTCTTGCTGATCGCTTCCAAGGCGGGAGGGGGCGGAATCAACATAATGGCATGGCCTTGCCTACCTACTACTTATTTAACTGCTGCTTCTCCTGCAGATATGGCTTCCTCATCTGGGTAGAGCTTATCTTCCTTTGACTTCCTTACCTTGCTTTTCCCCAGAACCTCCTGTGGTCTTTCTCCCTTTTCTCAACTAGTATGTTTTTATTTCTTCTATTAAATACAATCAACCAACAACAACCTCTGTTCTCTGCCATCATTTTGTCCTCACACTTACCTTTGATTTTTATCTCAAAATCTCTTCTTAAAACTTCACTGTCCATGATTCTGTCTGCCACTGGTTCTCTACCTGTTTTCTCAGACATACTTACAAACTGCCTTTGAGAAGGTTCTGGTATACCCCAAAATGCTGTCTATGGTCTACTAAAAGATCCTATTCTCTTTTTATCCATTTTTCCTTTGTACCTTATGCCCGAGTAATTTTATTCACAAACATCAGCATGGCTTCTCCTCCTGTGAAGGGCAGATGTACTCTTATAAGAGAGTTCTCTTTTTTTTTTTTTTTTTTAACCAGATGTAGAGTTTGGCCTGTGTCTCTGATATGTCATGGCTCAGCCCTTAGTTGGATCCAGCATGATCAACTTCTGCCTTTCCAAAATCATCCTTGCTCATTACTGACAATGACATTACGGTCTAAGTGCCTTTTTCACTTCTCTATATCCTTATTTCCAAGCTATGTTTAAATTTTGCACACACTTTCAAATGTCTTCACTCTCCATACACAGAAATAAGCTGTCATCCAAGTTGTCTTTCCGTCATGTCACATTTACTGAAATCTCCTATTCTCTGGCCCTGACAAAGGTAATTTCACCATCTCATACCAGTTCAGAAACCCACTGCAAGGATAATTTTCTTGCTCTGCTTCTTTGTTGAATCTCCTAGCCTATTTATTTACACTTCTGGGCAGCATCAAACATACTGAGCCTTAACTCTCATTTTGAACTCCCTGGGTTCCCTCCCTTAGTTTTACAAACATTTGAAAGCACTAGATCTCATTATTTTTCAGAGCCACTTGCTACAGTACTAAGGCAAACCTTGACAATGTCAGTCCTCAGGCATACTGAGACCCAACATAAGATCCCGATGGCTGCA